CTGGGCCTTAAAAAGGAAATTTTTTTTAAAAGAGCTGACAGAAGGCTGAATGTGAAAATAAAGATAAATTTAAGGCACTGTAGAAGCAGATGTGGAAAGAACTGGGTCCTCCAAATGCTCTCGTTTCCTTTGGATGCATGGGACTCACATCTTGCCAGAGAGAGGGGAGCCCCCAAGGTCACCTGGTGAAGGGCATGTTCTCCCATAGCTTTGGTCTTTAGCTTAGTTTGTCACGTGACTTCTTTTTTTTTCTCTTTTTGTGTCACACCCGGCATTGCACAGGGGTTACTCTTGGCTCATGCACTCAGGAATTACTCCTGGCGGTGGTGGTGGGATCATATGGGATGCTGGGAATCGAATGCATGCAAGGCAAAGGCCCTACCCGCTGTGCTATCACTCCAGCCCCTGTCATGTGACTTTTTAAATGCCATTCTGACCCACTCTTGAGTCCCCATCTAAAGGTGAGTTTTCTTTCTCCAAAATCTTACTAAGTTCACAGTCCTGGGAACCTGCTGTGTCAGAGGTGAGCCACTGTAAACCCACCTATATGGCCCAGAGAACAGAGTCCTGTAGGGCCAGGGACAGCCCCAAGACTACTTATCCCAACTTTCCAGAAGCTACGATCAAGGTGGTGCTTTTCCTCTTACCTCATAATAACCCCTGGGCTTTCTGACTGGCTCTGCTGACTTAGTGAACTCTCTCCCAAACTGAAAAACTCAGGTTTGTCTCTCTTGATCTGCATCTGACCTCTCCCTACCTCCCCCAAGGTAAGATGGCTAAAACGAGGTTGGACAAAGAGGCAATTCAGAGGTTGTCCTTGATTACACATGCCTTCCGGCCACTGGCAGTTGAACCCAACCTTAAAAAACCACCAGGAGAAGTGCTGCAAGGTCAGGGAGGGGTGACTCCCACATGGGCTAGGGAAAAAAGATGATAGTATCCTTGTATAAAAATACAAAAAAACATGCCCTAAGAATCCATCCATTTCTTTCTTATTCTGTAAAAAGTAAATGTGCTCTGTAAACATAAAATAGAAGTATATATAGACCGAAAATGATTGCCACTCAATGCCTCTTTTGCAAACCACAGCACCCAAAAGGAGAGAGAGAACAAAAGGGAGTGCCCTGCCACAGAGGCAGGGTGGGATGGGGGATGGGGGGTGGGAGGGATACTGGGATCAGTGGTGGTGGAGAATGGGCACTGGTGGAGGGATGGGTACTCGATCATTGTATAACTGAAACCCAAGCACAAAAATTTGTAAGTCTACAACTGTACCTCATGGTGTTTCACTAATAAAAATTAGGGGAAAAAAAGAAGAAAAAAAAGTAGAAGTATAAAATGAAAGTATTCCTAGGGTACTTTTGTGGTACAGGGTTGGGTAAGATACATCAAAATTTGCTTATGTTTACCCACAGCTGGTCACCAAGTGTTCTGAGTCCCAGCTTCAGTGACGCATGCCAAGGTACCTCCATTCCTTAGGAAGTGGGGTCAGCTGGGCAGGAACCTGGATAGACATGAGCTCCTGCCTGATTTCCATGGTAAGCCAGCAGGCCACTGATCAGCGCCAATTACTGGAAAAGTAAACCCAGAAGCCATGGCCCTGCTGGGACGCATGGTAATGTGGGTCCATGTCACCGTGTTAAAACTGTCTGGACTGAGGGTCTTGCCTCAGTCAGGAGTTCTGGCTCTTTGGCGCCTTTCTGGTGCAACAGATCGGAACACTTCAAGTTAATAAATCACTGCAAGCTTAATAATAAGCATTCACTAAGGTAGAGCTGATCTGAAGTCCCCTAGGTTAATATTCCACTGCCAGGAAGCCCAATGCACACAATTCACCATCTAGGGCCATATGCTGCTGTGAAGTTTCTTCTATCACTTATGAGAGTAATTTCTTCAATCTCATACTGGCCCTCACTTCCCCCACCCAGGCCCCTTGTCGCTGCTCCCTAGAAAGGGCTTCCTCTGCCTGCTGGCTCTCTCCTTCTGAACCCCCTCCACATGGCAGGTGAGCCCTGGAACCCCCAACCCGAAGCCACACCTTTGTTCTCTGGCTGCCTCCCCTTAAGGTCCAGGAAGTCAAAACCTCTTCCAGCCTTTCTCGCAGCCACAGGTGATGATGTGACCCAGTTCTAACCTCCAAGAGGACTGTGAGGGTTTCTGGACCCCCAAGTTTTGCCTTTCTGATTAGAGGAAACTGAACATAGCAGGGGCTTCCTCTCCTCAGCCTTGAATGTAGATGAATGCAGAGGCCTACAGCAATGCCAGTAAAATCAAATACATCTAGACAGGTATCAAAAAACTAGAGATAAACATGTTGTTGGTTCTGATATGTAAAGTGTGCATGTGTTGGGTGGCCACTGGGGAAAAGTATGTGTGTGTGTGTGTGTGTGTGTGTGTGTGTATAATTTTGGTTTGGGGGCCACACCCAGCGATGCTCAGGGCTTACTCCCTGAGTATCTGCACCCAGTAATTACTTCTTGTGGACATACGGGATGCCGGTATCAAGTCTGAATCTTGGCTGCATGCAAGGCAAGCACCCTACTTGCAGTACTCTCTCTTTTCAGCCTGTATTTTTAAATTAAAATGATATACACTTGTTAAGCATAACAAAAAATATATACCTCCAATGTCAACCCCATTATTCAGAATTAGGCAGTGTTTTAGGCATATTTCCTTCTGTATGTTCACCTTATAAACTCCTTATTCTAAATGACCTGGAAAATAAAGAAGAGTTTTACCACCCTTATCTCATGCCTTCCCTGATAGCGTGGTAACAGTGTGAATGGAGAACATGGATGTCTAGTGTGTTAGCAGTGTGAATGGAGAACATGAGGGTGAGAGACAAAGCTCGCACCCATGTCTTTTTTTTTCTTTTTGGGTCACACCCGGCGATGCACAAGGGTTACTCCTGGCTTTGCACTCAGGAATTACACCTGGTGGTACTCAGGGGACCATATGGGATGCTGGGAATCGAACCTGGGTTGGCCACATGCAAGGCAAACTACCCACTGTACTATCACTCCAGCCCCCTCGCACCCATGTCTTTAGACACAATATCACTGCAGGCAGCAGAACATGGCAGAGTTTAGGTCCATTTCCCTGTAACAAATCTCACGAAAGTTACCATTACCTTTTTGACTATACTGTGGATAGAAATCATCAAACTGATCAATCATACCTTCCCACTGATAATTTGCAATGAGGACCTCTCAGGAAAAGATAGGAGTGGACCACGTGGTCTACTCATCAGTGTCAAACCAGGGAGAGGAATATGAAAGGCCAAGGAACTCTCGCACGTGTTGAGCATTTATCCAAAGAAGCACAAAAACAATTAACACTGATTTGAAAACAGATCTCATTAAACATGTTTCCTACGGGCTTAAGTTCTCCCTTTTACCTCTTTGTACAGCAACGCCCTGCACATACAGCCAAGCAGGAGGACCCAGAGTTTGATGCACAAGGTAACCCACGGAAACTCTCCCACACACAGGGCACTCATTTTGCCTGTCCCATTCAGCTCTCACAGTAGACAACTGATGTTAAGTCACACATTTCATGTATTTATTCCTATATCCAAGGAAAAAGAAAAAGAACTGTGCTTTTCCTTAAAGGAACACAGCAACTGGTGGGCATGCAGAATGGCAACAGAGCCTTGGATCAGTCCAGTGAGCCCCTGGGCCCAGGGCATGGCCACTAGAGAAAAATCACTTAACGTACCACCTCTTTGAATCTCATAATTTTCAACTGTAAAAGGGGATAATATTAAACTATATCAAATTTCTCCTTCTGTAGGTCAAAACGTTGGGCTACAGCCATTCCATATGGTACTGCCTAATGATTCTGGCTCTGCCCACTTATAGCTTTTTACAGGAGCAAATAAAATTTTCGTGAAGGTGCAGGAAAATACTGTGACTATGAAAAGAACATTAACTTTATGAACTGCAACAAGTCAGTGCTCCAAGCTCCACACATGCATTGCTTCATAAACAATGCTTCATAAAGGATCAAATTGAGGAGGTAGCTCTGAGTCTTTGAAATGCAAATTCCTGGGCCTATCCCAGACCTACCAAGTCAGAAACTGGGAAATAACATGCACTTTTGACAAGCATCCCCGGGTGACAATACAAGTTGGAGAAAATAGTTTTCCAGGAGATAAATCAGCCTCTTGCTTAGGGTACCCATATACTGAGATGCAGGCTTTACCAAGCTCAATGAGCCCCTTTTCCCTTCATTCAATGATCATGGTCACGGTCCTCCCATTGTTCATTGATTTGCTCGAGCAGGACCAGTAACATTTTGAGACTTGTTACTGTGTTTGGCATATCGAATACGTCACAGGAAGCTTGCCAGGCTTTGCCGTGTGGGCAAGATACTCTCGGTAGCTTGCCGGGCTCTGAGAGAGGTGGAGGAATTGAACTCGGGTCGGCCATGTTGGCTGTGTGCAAGCCAAATGCCCTACATGCTGTGCTATCTCTCCAGCCCTTCATTCAATGAAAGAGATTAAAAAAAATAATTGCTATACTCTTGAGCTAACAAAATGTTATATGTCAATTATACACTAAGAAATAAAATCCCAGGGGGATGGAGCAATAATAAAGTGGCTAGGGTACATGTCTTGCACACAGCTAACCCAGGTTTGATCTCTGGCACCTCCTACAGTTCTCTGAGTCCTGCCAGGGGTGGTCCCTGAGCACAGAGCTAAGAGTAAGGTCTGTGAACCACTGAGTGAATCCATTCCCCCCAAATAAGAAATAAAATCCCAGTATGCTTATTTCTCTTAATACCTGGGGAAATGTCAGGTGAATATAAAATTAGCTCAGTTGCAACGTCATTAAAAGGAATTGATAAAACTCACTGTAGGTATTTTTATTTCCAGCAGTATCTCTTTACCACCTTTCCCTTAATATGAGTCTTTCAAAAAGCTCTAAGGATGTGAGTTCCTGGGTGTGACCTTGTACCTCCCTGGTCAGAGCTGGAAGAACAGGCTCAAGGTAACTCACCTCTCAGAATGTAGTTCTGGTAGTTCTGATCTGCCTCTGCTCCCACCTTGATCAAACATGTCAGACCTTCAGCCACAACAAATTCATGCACCAAATCCTTGTCATCCTGGGACAAAACGAGAGAACCACACAAGATTTCAGATATGGTTACCCTTCAACCCCCCATTTAGGCTATGCTGTTTAAGCTATGCAGAAGTCTTTGAAACTGGTCAGACTTCTTCAAATTGTTCTGCTCTATTCAAATGAAGCATCTTAACTATTGCCAGAGGAATTTTACCACCAGTTTTCACATTGTCCTTTGCCAAAGAGTGATTCTTGCCTTCTGGGCAATCTAATAAAGATAAAGCAAACAGGTCCCCAGACTGTCAGGGATATTTATAGTGCTCTGTTTTCATTCTTCAAAGATCACCAGGCTCTCCCTCCAGTCTCCACGAACTGACCACATAGAGCTTGTTTGAGTTTTAACAGAAGGAAACATTCAATTACAGCTCCTTGTGTGGAGTCATGTATATGGGGATCGTGAAAAATTTGGCAACAGAAAAAGGTTTCTGAATGTGTGATGACAAAAAATTAATTTGAAATGACCAAAAATAAATTCAAAATGACCAAAAATCAGTTCAAAATCAACTGCATCATGAATCCAAAGGGTCTGGCCGGTGATGCATTTCTCAGTCAGTGATAGGTGATAAGTGGAAAGAGCATTTGGAGCCCAAACTGCAGAACAGGCCATCGTGTGGAGGCCAAAGCCACTGGTATATGCCAAAAGAGGAGTACAAAGACCTTGCCTGAGAAAGTGAAATGCACTTTCCCTGTCTCCATGAGCAGGAAAGCAAGGAGGCAGAGACACAGCCATACCGCACCATCCTTCCTAACAACCACTCTCCTGATCTACAAACCAGTCCAAGAAGGCCGGGCCTGAAGGGTACCACCGAGTCTGTAGTTCCCAAAGAGGAGACTGACCAGCACCAGGGAGCTAGCTGATAAAGCAGACTGCCTCCACAGCTTCTTGGGTGGGCAACTCCTGTGAGGGTCATAATTTGTGCTTACCTAACCCTCCAAGTGATCTAGAGACACTCAGAGTTCTCATCCCTAACCTCCTCATAACTCAATATCCTCAAGCACATTGTGGGAGTTTTGAAATGAATTAACAGCTGGACACTACCTGTTGGAACTAAGTCAAAATTCCTGGAAAATATATATATGTACATATATATACACATATATATGAATATATGTCACACAATTATATATGTGTGTATATATACATATATTGTATAAATATAGACCCTATTTCCCATTTTCTTTCCTAGAAATTCCTAAAGAGCAGACAATATAAACATTTCTGATTTAATTCCACATTCCACTTTCTACCTAAGAGAGACTCAAGAGTGACAAAACTTTGGTCAAGATGCTTCTAGTCTATCCAGGAAGTACCCTACCTCCACCCCAGGCTCATTTTCCTGGAGTTCCCAGCTTTTGGGAGCTCTTTGAGTGGGATTTTTCCACTATCCTTCCCTAAGATTTCTTCCACTGAACAGCGCCTCATCTCCAATTCAACTAGGATAAGGCTGGAACATTCATCTTGTATTATAACAACAGGGCAAAAAAGAAGAAACCTCAGTGATGTAAATAGTATAAAGCTTAATGGAATAATGAAAGGTTATTATTATCGGAACGGTCAGCAGCCATGGTTTATCTCCAAAAGACAAAAAAAAATAATTTAGACGAATTGGCATCATTCTTCTGTCCGTGTGTGAAATCAGCCCTTCAGTTTGATTTTATGGCATTTTCCAATTATGTGGATGGAGGACTTGAGCTCAATGTGGGCAGGCCAGGCAAAGGTTCCCTATGAACCAAGAAAGCACTCTTAATGTTCAGGGGGCACAGAGAGGAGGGGAGAGGGTGGGAGCAATGCCTGTGCCCCAAAAGTAATGAAAGACAGCTGTGTGAACTCAGACTTGAAGATAATCATGGCTTTGGAAGCAAGCGAATATGGGACAATATCATGAGTTTTTGGAAAATTACTTTACACTCCTATGTATAAAGGAAATAAAAAATAATTCTCCATCCATATCCTTTTCCATGAGCATATGTGAAAAGTGAACATTTAGATGATCTCATGTCTAGTCAGAGAGTTTTTCCAAGCATGTAACAAATGTTTATTACTTTAAAACTAGGTTCACACATGACTTCATGGTGAAAAAGTGAGAACAAGCTCTCAAGAAACCACTCAAGCTAATCACTAATATTAATATAGCAGAGAGTGGACTGTCTGGCAAAGGTGCTCAGGAAAAACACTAAACCAGGGAGACAGGGCTTATAAAAATAATTCAGGGACCTAACTAAAATGTATGCATATATGTAGATAAGGCATTTAAGGAATAAAAAAAATGTGGATAATGTGAATACCTTCCAAACTGGCAATGTACTAGATTTTAAACATGTATTTTAAAATTACATAAGCATTAACAAATAGTTTTGGAAATACTGGATTCTGATGAAAATGAAATTAACATGTTAACTCTAACTCAAGAATGAATATCACTACACTTCAAAATCTTCTGTAATAGTCATGTTAATCTGTGGTCATTTTTCTCTTAATGCTGATCAGTATATTCAGCTCAATTTAAATGGCTAATGGCTCTGCTTTCTACACACTTCAAGTCTGGTTTCAAAAAGAACTTCCACCTCAGAAACAGATGGTAGGAATGCAGACCTCTGGGTATAGGAGTCAAAGTAAGCCCAGACAGCATTTAATCTGTGTAACCCATTCAATAGCCAATGTGTCCCTGTTCTGTGATCTAGAGATCTTTCATGCATCTGTGTGTGGTCTTCCAAACATATTAAGAATTTGTGATAGCAATCACACTCTTGCTTGTCTACACAGTGCTGACAAAGGCTGCTCAAAAACAGTTGATGAATAAATCACAGAACAGACATCCTGAGAACTCCGAGCCAACAGGACAGAACAAGTTTCCTGAGGGGCTATGTAGCAAGACCCCCAAGTGTGTTTTTTTAATTTCATAACTTTATCATTTTGTTTTTTAACCTTTTAACCATTTTGTCCAAAATAAAACGGACTACTATACCCCAGATGCTGATGAATTCAGACCAGTCCTATTTCATTTATGAGTCCATCCTATCTACTGCCATATTTATTTGAAGTAGTTCCCACATATCATATCACTTAAACAATAGCTATTTTAATATGGAGCTATAAAGTATAAGAGCTCAGCTTAAAATTACCTACTCTTAATTTCAAAATTAGTACTTTCTTTGGGGCTGCAGCTATAGTACAGCAGGTAGGGCTTGCACGAGGTCTACCTGGGTTCGAGTCCCAGCATCCCATATGGTCTCCTGAGCACCATCAGGAGTAATTCCTGAGTGCGAATCCAGAAGTAATCCCTGAGCATTGTCAGGTGTGACGCCCACAAAGAATAATAAAAATTAAAATTTAAAAAGTAATACTTTCTTAATATTACCACTTATTCAATATTCATATTTCCAATTATCTCAAAAATATTGTTTTATACAATTTATATTTAGAACCAAATAATATTCATATGTGTCAATCAGTCAATAATTTAAAATGTCTTTTAGCTCATCTCTTGAAACTCTTGAAATTTTTTCTTCAGGGTGGCAAAACTACAAAAATTCCATTACTTCCTCTTAGTCATAAACTAGAATTTTATTTACAAACAAAAATTCTTAACCACAATTTGATTATCCTATAACTCATGTAGGCAAAGATAAGGTGAATCTGAAATTCTGAAATTTCACCCATTTTCAAAATATTGAATTGGGTCACTCTCATCTTTCACTAATTATCAATTCATTATTAATTTATGGATTCATTCCAGCAGATTTGATATTTTTATTCACTGCTCTTTCTTCATCATCCTTGATCAAGCTTTTATTATCCCATTTTTGGCCAACAAGTGGGAGGAAGGTCCTTAAACAAGTTTGGAGTTCTTTTGTCAATGGTCCAAGTAGTATCTGATGGTTTCCTTGCTATCCATATGATAGGATGCTCCAAGTTTATCCTAACCATTTCCTACCACAGTCTGTGAATCAACAAGGAGCTCTGGTTCATTTAGTCTTTTATAACTACCATTTTGGTACTAGAGGGTTTTTTTGTAATGATTTACAGTGCTTATTTGTTATGATATTATCATATTTTCCCTTTAATATTTAAAAAATTAAATACTTTTGAACACAATCATTCTACATATACCAAGAAGCCTAATCTTTAAGAACTAAGAATGGCAAATTGAGCACTCCCCATACACACACATCTCAGATTAGTAATACCATCAACACCAGTTACGATCAGATTAGTAATACTATCAACACCAGTTATAATTGCTATAAACCATTAATGATTTGGGGGTGAGGGTGGAGGTTCTCTGTATTCAAGGTATATCCAATTCAAGGTGTGGAAAGTATAGTGTTTTAAAGTCACTTGGAATAGATGTTCTCTATGTGTCTTTGCCATAGATACTTGGGTAAATAACAGGTTTTGCAAGAAGTTAAAAGTGGGCAATTTTTAGGGGCTGGAGAGATACTAGGACACTGTCTTGCATGTGGCAATCCAGGTTCGATACCTGGCACCCCAGATTGTCCCCGAGTACCACTAGTAATAATTTCTGAGTGCAGAGCCAGAAGCAACCCCTTAGTATTTCCAGTTGTGGTCCCCCAAAACAAAACAAAACAAAAAAGTGGGCAATTTTTAAAAGCAGATTGAGGGATTAAATCAGTGAGAGTGAGGTGGGCGTGAGTTTGGCATTCTGGAGGCACAGTAAGAGTTCAGCAGACAGAGGAGGGGGAGCTAGGTTGGAAAGGAGGATATAATGGAGGTGAACAACTTTGTTTTGTTCAGTGAAGCAACATCAAGATTCAGATGAGTTCAGGGAAGAGGAATTCCAGGACCAATCACTGGCATAATATTTGCACAGTCAGAGGCAGGAAAGGTTCCTCAGGTCACCCAGTCCAGCCAAGTGGCACTGGTCACTATACTAGGCCCCAAAGACCCAGCAGGAGACCGAGACTACCAATGAGTGCCCCACACTTGTGTCTGAAGGTCTGTATCACATGTCAACACCAAAAAACTTCAGAAGTATCTGGTTATCATGGTTGGGGTGAAGGATCATTTAGAAAGACAATCCCTGACAGGAGACACCAAGAGCAATACTGAGCCACATGGAGGATAGATGTGGAATAGAAACTTATTCTGATAAAGAAACAAAGATTAAGGGATAAAGGTCATAAGACAGAAAGCTCAACTTACTGCCAGAATGCAATCATGGGTGAAATTTAGTATGCAGCTGAAAAAAGAGATGTGGGCAGCAGAAGCTAAGTCCCAAGGGGCTTCAGTATTCCATAGATGACTATTTGACCAACATGGGTTAAAAAAAACTATTGATTTGCTTTTGTGTTTTTAATTAATACAGTGCAGTATAATAGATGTATTTTTCTTATTACATTACTAACATTTTCTCTTCTCTAGTGTATTGTAAGAGTATAGTAGAAACAGTATGAAAAATGTTGTTGACTTTATTATTGATAGACTTCTGATCAATTGGAAGCTATCGATAATATATTTGAGGAGTTATCCCCCCCTCAAAGTTATACACATACTTTTGTTCACAGACCAGGAAGGGCGGCGTTAAACAACATAACCCCCTATTGTTGTTCAAGGGTCAACATTACAGACAAATTCAAATGCAGCACAAAAGGCTACATGATACCAACAAGAGAATGTCTTTCTCAAAGCCCATTGTTAGGAAACTGAAAAGTAGACTGAAATGGGGGGAGGAACAAAAGCAGGCAGGGCCATGGACAGCAGTTATAAATTTTCCAGGAGAAATGCCCTGCACGAAGGCAGAGCCCAAGCCCTCAAGGCATTCCTGAGACATGCCGCAGAAGGTGTGATGATGCAACCATCTCCCACCTGTACTGTTGAAAGAGAAGAACAGAGGGCTTTCCCCAGACACGCTGATCCAGAAGGGACCCTGTACTTGGAAAAGACGCAGGCATGGGAAAACAAGTTTATGAAGAATAGGAGGATGTACAGATGGGACAGAGTATTGATCCGCCTTTTTGCAATCCCTTCTTAGGCAGGGAGACACCCACAGAGGGGACTGTCACTCAGACTAAAGCCATCACTGACCCACGGTTTTGGAGAAGAGGGGAGCTCATGAGATATGGAATACCCCTTCAAGCAGCAGTCTGCAGCTACCGGATATAAAAGGGCACTGAACCACTGACATAAAGTCCAGAACTATTCTAGAAAATCAGTGAACCTGCACAGACACAAGTCAGTGTTACTCCGATTCTGCCACAAAGCTGTATTCTAAGCTGGCCCTGCCCAGTGACCCCTTTTTCCCCTGGCTCTCTGTCTTTCTCCCCCATAGTCATCACCTGGGCTTAGTTGCAAAGTCCTTCTGCATGCTTGCTTACACCCCTGTCACAAAGCTTATGACTTTCTCAGGATAGGAAGATTAAAAAAAAAAAGTCAAAGGGGTACTCCTGAGAGACACAGCAAGGGAATGGCCACTGCATCACAGTTTACATGGCTGAACACTGGAAATGATCTGTTCTGTCCATGAAGAGAAAACGAACACAGTGATCTGCTCGTACACAGCTTATTCATATGCTCACACAGCTGGATTGATCCATGCCTACATGCCTACAAGCCAGGAAGCTGAAGTACAATTCAACAGGCAACTTCAACTTCAGCAGACATGGAGTTAGCAGAGAGGAACATCACAATCTGACGGACATTCACCATTTGAATGGAAACATGCAGATGCATAAGTGCCAAATTTGACCATAAGCAGAGAGAGAACCTGAGGCGAGACGGGGATGACTGATATTAGGGAGAACTCAAATTCATTTATATCAGAAAACAAGTTCTTCATTCCAGAATTAAAGTTAATATGGAAAAATTACTTTAACCAAAAATGTTGTCTTTAATCCCTATCTTTAAAATATGTTTGAAGTTTCCCTATCTTTATGTTAAAGAATCCCTATATGTTAAGTTTCTTTAAAATGTTTCTTTAAATATGTTTCTTTAAAATATGTTTTAAAATATCTTTAAAATATGTTTGAAGTTTCCCTATGTTAAAGAATTCCTATATGTTAAGTTTCCCTATATGTTAAAGAATCCCTATCTTTAAAATATGGTTTCAGAAACAAGTCTCAACTGATGTTCCAAATCAACCTAATTTACACTGTAATCTGAAAAAAAAAAACTCTTTTTTTTAATCAAAGATATAAGCCTATCTGCAGCTAATCCCACACAGAATGCATAAACAGAACCAAAGAGTTTATATTTTTGTTTTTACCTGAAATATCTGCTTCAGGGAGAAAAGGGCCCTTCTTAAGTCTCGTCCACTGGAGTTGTACAGTTTTTCTGGAACAAAAATACAACATATAACATTAATCAAATGAATCAGGGCTGAGTGGTAAGAGCCATCAAGGGTAATGATCACCAAATGCCCACTGGAGAGCAAAGTGAGATGGACACAGATACACCCCATTAGTTCTAAGCACAGGCTGGGCTGCATCTGAGGCCAGAAGAGGGACTGTGACCAGTGAACATGGAGACCCAGACTTCCACCCTGCCAGATCCCATGGCCAGCAACCAGATCCAGAACATGAAGACAGCTGACATGGAATCCTCCCACCACACCCCACCTCACCATCATCCTACTTTCTGTAGCCAGATTCAGGCAGCTCTGCAGCACCGCCTTTGCCACAGACTCTGATGGTCACCTCGAGACCCAAAGGCTACAAACTGGCACTCAAGATTCTGTGGCTATCCCATGGGTGAGCTGCTGGGCAGGAAGACTGCCTGAGCACAGCCTGTCCCTGACTTCACTCTCATGTTCTGGACCAGGCGCCAGCCCTGAGCAAGTAGAAGATCATTTTCTGGGGTGGAAACTGGTTGCCAACTACTAGCCTGCTGTTTGGGAGCTGCAGGCCCCCTAAAAGAGTGAACTGCATGCAGAACCCAAACTTAGAGGACACAGTAGGGCAGATGAGCAAGAACTGGATTACTAGTTGGTGGTGGCACTGCAAAGGACTAAGGATGCATAGAAAGGGTGGGGAGTGAGCCTCTGTATATGTAGAACTCCTGGGAGCACAGCTCTGCTCGGCTCCCCAGAATCCCAGCTTAGTCCTGACTTAGGTGCTTAGGGGCTCAGTTCCCAATCCCTGAGGCCAGTTCTCACCCCAATATAAATCAGCCAATAACTATTCCCTGCTAAGGGCAGTTAAAGGCACTAGGAATACAGTGTTGAAGACCTGGTGAGAGAGCAAAGACTAAGCAATCTGATGGCCAAATTTCAAACCCAGTTTTACCACTTAACTATCCATGTGACCTTGGCCCCACACTTTCTATGGCCCCTTCTTATCTATGTGGTAACACTTACTATCTATGTGACCTTGGCCACACAACTGGAAAGTGGAAAAGAGAACAAAATATTTATAGGAAAGAGGCTTTTGTGCATTTCAAACACTGATATGAAACAAAGAGATACAAAGTTGGGTGAAAATGACAATGATCCCCCCACTGAACCCCCAGTGGCTATCTGCCGCATAGAGACTGGAATCCAAAGTTCTTTCCCCCGGTCATGTGATCCAGCCTCACTCACTCCCATTGTGGGAGACCCTCTGGCCTTCTCTCAGACTGGGGGCACCCAGGCTCCTCCAGCCTCATGGCCGGCCAGGAGCAGAGACAGGGTTCCAGAACAGGGGCCCAGAGAAAATGCCGATGCCTGAACCTCAGGCCTCCTTGTGATCTGAGCATCATAGGATGGGATCCATCGCTTCAAACTACAGCACGTAGCCTACAGTCACGTATGAGTTTAGATTGAAAGAGAATGCACCACGTTCCAAAAGTATAATGACCTGGGAGGAAAACTCCAAAGGAGTCAGCAAGACTCAATCAAATATCTACTACTTCTTAGATCCTAAGAAAAGAGGCTTGACCAAATAAAGGATGTTGGGAGGATCGTCCCAGGATGGGAGATGCGTGCTGAGAGTAGACTAGAGTCCAAACATGATTGTCACTCAATGCCTCTTTTGCAAACCACAGCACCCAAAAGGAGAGAGAGAACAAAAGGGAATTCCCTGCCACTGAGGCAGGGTGGGATGGGGGGATGGGGGTGAGAGGGATACTGGGATCAGTGGTGGTAGAGAATGGGCACTGGTGGAGGGATGGACATTCAATCATTGTATAACTGAAACCCAAGCACAAAAATTTGTAAGTCTACAACTGTACCTCATGGTGTTCCACTAATAAAAATTAAAATAAATAAATAAATAATAAAAAAAGAAGAAAAAGAGGCTTGAAGGACTCAAGCTGACCTCTGAGATGGGAGTGTGGCCTTGAAATATGGGAACAGCAAATAAAAAAAGTAACCCACACCTGTAGGAGACGCCAGGAGCGACAATGTGCTTGGGTACTTCGGCTAACACCTCAGAATTCTCTACTCCCAGAGAAAAAGACTTTGGCATGTATCACTTCTAACAACAACAACAACAACAACAACAAAACAAAGCAAAACCACAGGATATTTCATTCATTTAAAAAGAAAAAGATTTGCTTTTGAAGTGGTTTAGAAAAAAAGAACCTTAAATTATTTGGGACTTTTCCAGTTATCTTTCTGTTACTGATTTCTACTTTAAGTTTTTATGGTAGCAAATATACTTTGTATAAATAATTTCAAATTAGCTAAGGTTTCCTTCATGCCCAGAATGATTCATTATGCTGAATATCTCATGTACACTTGAAAGAGGGTTTATTCTGCTATTATTTAGCAAACTCTTGTTCACATCTTCTTTATTCTTATCAAGATTCTGCTATTTCACAGGGCACTGTTGGAGAAGTATTAAAATATACAACTATGAGATTTTTGACTTCTTTGAGATTGTTGACTTCTTTCAGCTTTAGGAGTTCTGTTTCAGTCACTTTGAAAGTCTGCTGTGAGGTAAATTCACTTGTAGGATTCCTAGTTTTGGGTGTTGGTTGTGGGCAGGGATGGGGAGAGCCCCCAAGCAGTGCTTAGGAGACCCAGGGCTTCTTAGCCAAAGGGGCCATCAATTGAATACCAAACAGGTGAAGCTGCTAAGTGCCCTACAGTGCCGGAGTTACTGAGATGACCCTGGAACGCTCAGAGACCCCAGAACTCTGCCCAGCAGTGCTTAGGAACCTTCAGGGCTGCACCCACTGGTATTTGGGTATCGTGTGGTGCCTGGAATCCAAACCAGGTCTAGCATGAACCCTAATTGCTGGATCTCCCAGCTCCTGTGTATAGATTTTCTGTGGCTTCTGGGTGAACCAACCTTTCATCAAAACATCATTTCCCTCATCCCTAGCAATCCTATACTACTTTCCAAAAATTAAAGTGTTTGGTGTTTTTTTTTCTAGTCTTTTATTTTTAGCCCATTTATATAAAGTTCTTATAAACATCACTGCAATTTGCTATAATCCAATAGCTTTCCACCGGTCTGTGTTCCCATATTTTTAACTTACGGATGTGACCCCAGTGGTATTACAACATAAGACCTTAGAGGTCTAATGGTTCCTCTTACCCTTTTGATGAGAAATGCTTCTGTCTCAATGCCAAAGATATCTGAGTGATGCCAAACATTTTCCTCCTTTTTCTGCCAGGTGTCTTTTAATTAAAACAAATTACAATTTCTATTCAAATTTTCCATTCCAACTGTCTAATGAAAAATATTTAGTTACTCATCTGTTTAAATAATTGCCTATTCCAAAGCTGAACAAGAATGTAGCTCCCAAAATAATTATTTCTTTAATGCAATAGGATAATTGCTGCAGTTTTCAGAAAGATACTGAGAAATTTTAATACATTTTTGTTCTCATAACATCACTTAACAGATGAAAATATTTAGTTTTGGCTAAATGTCTTTGAAAACAGTTACTTGGTCCCATATGTTATGATGGCATTTAATAATATCTTAATCCAAAATCCTTCTACAGGCACCTATCAAGATGTAGCTTCTTCACCCTTCATACAAATGATAAAATAGGAAATTTCATTTTTATGGACAGAGATAAACCTCTCCCAAAGTATCTGCAAACTTTTCTCTGCAGTTACCATTATAAGAACAACAGTGAAGTCATCACTATGATGACTGAAATTAAAATAACCAAATACTCAAAGAGATAATACATTGGAATCCTTCTCAAAAAGACAATCTTGTCTCTCTACAAAGAACTGATATCAGAGTAAACTGAAATCACAGTGATCTATTAAAATGCAAAATTGTCACAAAAAATACATAGTGGTACCAAAAGGGTTCTCTGTTTCCCAGACTTGTTCTATTGATTCTTAACACACATTTTTAGACGACCCCATGTTAGAAGATGCTAGAAGGATTGGGAAACAAAGGTGTCTGTGAATGACACATTTGTCATTTAGGAGAGACATAATCCTGCTGGTAGAAAAGAAACCAGCAGACACCTCAGATATTTTATCCCAAAACCAAACAAAGTCCTATGATGTGGTTTAAGAAGGAGACCTACACAGGCTAAGAGCACTTTATCCCATAGACTAGAGTCTGGCTGGCCTGCCACAGGAGGTGGGGTTTGGAGGCTTTTACTGCTGGTGGACACTCTGCTTCAAAACTTTCCATTTATATCACCTTAAGGATTCCCTGTATGATAGTCAGACTCACCCTGGCTATACAACACCTGTCATTTAGCTTATAATCACTTGGGAACAGAATCTGACTTATCATCTTCCCAAGGGTGGACTTGTTGTCATTCTTAATGCATTTCCTAAGGGATGTCATCCATCACTCCTTTAGGAGTGGTCTGATATGAAAGAGTCGATGTAGTTCCTGGGGAACATGTATGCATGTGAATCCGTCTTAGTACTCGGTCCTGCATCACCATCAGCCTCTGCTCCGTGTGGGACCTGTATGTCAGCATGAATGTCTGCATATGCAGACAAGAGGACATACATGGCTCAGCCAATGGATAATGGTGCAATGCTTGGAGATCCTCTGAGCTACACCCTATGTCCAAATGGGTCCTGAGTCCCAGGAAGGAAATTAGACATGAAAACCAGGAAGTTCCAAAGAAAGCAGAAAGGGCCAAAGAGTCCAAGTACAGAGAGGAAGTTGCCCAGAGCACAGCAAGCCAAGAAGGCAGGGTTCCTCTCTGCAAACCTCACATTCCCTTGGAGGTGACACATGTAACCCCTCTCCTCTTCATCCCCTGGGCTGAGAACACATGCAGATCAGGGGGGTACAGCAGACCCTAGATGGGGGAGTATGTAGGGATAAGGCCGCTCTTGTGCACTCCACTGACTTTGAGAACTCTAAGCCATGGCATGCAGAGATAGGGTACATGAGTGACCAGGAGTGAAATGTGGGCCC